CCTGTCCTTGCTGACCCGTCCCTTTTCCACTCCATGTGGTTCCCTCTGCGGTCTCTCTCCATACCTCCTTGGATTGCTTTTGTCAGCTATGCAGACTGTTGCATAATTGGGTCATCTTTCTGCTCCTCTGATCTCCCTTTGGGAGCAGGATCATCTTGGGACTCCAGAAAAACCCCATCCTGCTGGGAAGCGGGCAAGAGGCCGCAGCCAGCCTCCAGACACACTGCCCCAGCTGGGGCTCAGAAAGCATTGGGGGATCCTGCCTGATCCCTGCATGGATGCTGGGACTAATCTTGGTGACAGCAAAGGGTGAAGGGACCAGGAGAGGAGGGAAAGCAGGCAAGTGTCCAGCTGGGATATTCAGGGGGGCCTGTCCACCCTGCTTTCAATCTGTTGCAGTGGTGCCCGCTAATGCAATTTAACGTATTATTGGCCAGATTCTACTTTCTCTGCCTCAAAAATGGTCTTTGTGATTGCTGTGGGTTGTTTTCAATAGCTCTTGTCTTGTGAGATCTTTTTTTATTAACAAAAAATTAAAATGGTTAAAATTTTGATTAAATTAAACCAAATGGACTTTGTTCTCCACTGGAAGCTGTTTGTATAACATCTGCTTTAAATAACTTTAAAACTCAGCCCATTTAACTCTGCAAAATAAAATGGTGAAATTACAATATTTTTTGTGGTTTTAAAAAAAGAAAAAAAAGCAGACCATACCCACCTCCACCTTATGACTTTAGGAACAAGTTTAGCCCTGTGTACCCAATGCAGCCCTGGTGCGGCCAGTTGGATTGACATCTGCCTGGTTCACACTACTGGTAAAGACTGGGCAAAATAATTTAAAACTACTTTTACAAATTACTGTTTTCTCAGATAAAAATCCATTTGTAAATAGAATTTGCAGTGTTGTTGGCACTAAACGCGTGGTGTTCTACATCAGATTAGATACCCAAGCTCATGTATATTCCTGGGACAGCCTGAGCAGGGCTCAAGAGTTTCCCCGTACTGGGAATATGTGCCTAGGCGCTTCTTCCAGGATATTTAAAAGCTGTGTATGCCTATCAGAGTATGCAGGAGGGCTGCACAGACAAGCCCCTGATCGCCTCACAGGCAGGCAATGACAGGTTAAAGAGCCCACCTCTATTCTGTGCGGGAGCTGGAGGGGTTCCCGGTAGGTGACGCCGCTGCTTTGGCCCCCCCATTCCCAGCCCAGCTCCCTTCAGCCGCCTGCCCGGGCGCCTGTGTCCCGCTTTCTCATAACCTCCCCTGCCTCCTCCTCCTCTTTATATATTCATGAAGCGGCAGGGACGGGGATAAATAAAAGCTGAGCAAGCCGGAGCGACAGCACAGGAAGAGGAACTGTCTGCACTGGCGGGTGCCTCGCTCTGCACTGCCAGGACGGATCCTGCCTCTTTATCTTTGCTGGGACAGAGCCAGCTTGCAAGAGAGATAACTGTTCCCTGCTCTCTCGGGTGGCAGCTGGATGAGCTCTGGATGCAAGGAGGAAGAAAGTTAACAGTAAGTGAGTCAGTCTCACCAGGGATAAGATAGTGCCTTCTAGGATGTTTCTTTTGCTAAGTTCAGAGCCAGGCCTGACATGGGGCTGCATCTACCCCTCCCCCTGTTCCCGGCAGATTGCTCCCCCAGCACATCTTCATCTCCTGGGACTCACTGATGGGGCAGAGGCTGTCGGGCTGGAGGCACCATGGGTGGAGGAGAGGCTAGAAGCAGAAAACACGTGCGCAAGCAGGGACTTACAATGTAATTCACAGGGGACCATTTCAAAATGTTGAGCCTTTCTCCAGCCAGCTTTGGTCTGGCGGGTCACTAAAGCCTGGTGTTGAAGGATTATATTGCAGCTGTGCCTTTTTTGGGAAGGGCAGAGTTCTCCAAGTTCACATGTGCCTGTCTCCTGTGATCTCTTACTACTCCCATGGTCTCCTTTCTGTCCTCTTTCTTCTGTGATTGCAAGGAAGGGACACGCCTCTGTCACTGCAGGGGAAGTTAGGGTTTTTCTGCCCATAAATTAACCCCTCTGATAGCTGGAATATACTATGAGTGCAACAAGGTCTCAACTGTAGCAAATCGGGATCTGATTAGCTCAAGCAAAAAAAAACCCAAAGCACCTCAAGTGCTACAGCACTCTGCTTCCCTCCCTGGAACGCTGGCAGCACGACTGGCACCTTGTCACCAGCACCCCTTATTCTGAGGGGGCTCCATCCCAGCTTGCAAGCCAGAGTCCTCAGCTCACCAATTCCCTGTTCCAGGGTGAGACCTTTGCCAGATTGCAGGTCTGTGTGATGTGCTGCCAGCCTGATCCAGGGAGCAACATCTCCTCTCCACCCTGCCCACAGTCTTGCTGTGTGCAGACAGCATCCTGAGGAGCGCATGAATGCGTGGTCCTAAATACAGGGGACACGGGCACCAGATGCTCCCCCAGTACTGAACACCCAGTTAACCCACTACTTCTGCAGGATGGGCCAGCAGTTTAACACCTCAATGGGTCATTGCTAAGATGTCACCTTCTGACCTGTGCTAGTGCTCCAATTTTCTTTTATTCTCCCTCAGGTGCAGCGCTAAGATGAAGCCTCCAACTGGGCAAGGCATAAGGCTGGCATACCTTCTCCTGAATTTGGCTTCCCTCTGCCTTCCCACCCCGCTCTGGAAGGACCGGAACTCCCTAATGCAGGAGGAGAAAGCCCATCAGACAGGTGGCAATTTGGTGCTGAGCACACAGGAACAGCAGCTCAGTACGAAGCTTGTAAACCTCAAGAAGAAGGAGGTTGCAACAGCCATGACTACAGGACAGTTTCCTCCAAGTATGCACTTCTTTCGGGCAAAAGGCCTCATTGATCAGAGCGCAGTGTTCAGCATCTTAAAGCGCATGCCAAAAGGTAGGATTGGCCTATGGTTGCTCACCTTAGTCATTCTCCTCGCGCCTTTTGTTTTCTATGCCACAGCCAGGACAAAGCACAAGGAGATGTGGCAGACCTTTGGTTGCAGGCAAGCTTACGAGAGCTGTAAATCATGCTCGCTGGGTTCCAGGAAGAGCCCTGCATCTGAGCTTGGGGACGGGGCCAGGGGAGAGAGGAAGAGGGGGATGGATTGGATGAATACATGTTTCCAGCAATTGTAACATTTGCTATAACTTACAATATGGATCCTTCAGCCTTTCAAGTGTGGAGAAAGGGCAAAGGAAGCAGAGACAACAAGACACCATAGACACTCATATTTGTTCAGCAAGTTCCAGCCAGGGCCTTTCCTTTTCCCACACATGCTACCAACCTTGCCTTAGCCCACTTCTTAGCCAGAAGTGGTGTATCCCCCAGTAAGTTTTTGTACAGGTGGCTCTGTAGCAGGCCTGGAAGTGTACTGGAAAGGCTGGGGGCACTAGAGCAGGAAGGTGCTACCTCCAGCACTGCAATTTTTTTAACTTGTTGAATGGAAGTCAAAGCCTGTGTTGATGTGACCTGCAGAATATGATATAGAAACTATTGTATTCTTTCACTTAGTCTTTCTTAATCAGGTTCTGTTCTGTGCACTTATAGGAAATCTCTGCTTATAAGGGCAGGCATTTCTCCTCTTGTCTTTAGTTTAAAGATCGTTTCTCTCGTTTTACAGCAAGCTATGTGCTAATGGGCTGCCATGCCCTATACCAAAAGGGGCTTCTGCACTCTGCAGCGCACACATAGCTTTTAAGGCGTTTGGAACATTCTACGTTAGATAATGGCATGAGATTGTCCGATACCTTCACCATGTCACCCTGTATATCCTCTGATGAGCAGCTGGGACTCAGCAGCATTTGAAAACTCAGTACTCCGGGTTATGATGGAAAGGAGAAGAGGGTATTTTTAGTGAAAGGAAAGTCCAAGCCACGTGGGCTGTGTAGCAGGAGGCCTGTCTCAATGTCCCTGAGTCTCTGACAGAAGCAGGATGTTGAGATGATCACAGGAGGAAGGCCTTGACTGCTAACCGACTAGTTTCTCCCTCAGCACCTCTAGTTCAGTAAGGAAGCATTTGAAAAAGATGCCCTTTTTTAACTAAAGAGACAAGACAGTTGCAGCAGACATTGCTAATACCTCTGTGACTCTGAACACTATGCAGAGTTCCATGGTCTTGCCCACATGGCTGCCTGGAAACAGGTTGGTGGCCTGCTTTGGAAGATTTGGGAGTCAGCTTCTCCACTTCTGTGGCATTTTTCACTTGCAAAGTTGTGACACTGGCACATGGATAAGAGCCATCTTCCTCACTTCCCAGCTTGTCCCTCCCAGCCTCTGGTGAGGGGTGAGGATCCCTGGCTTGCAGCATCCTAATCTGTTACTGTAAATGATTGGGATGTCAGAGGTGCCCTTACCCTTTTATTGCTGAATTGAATAGTAAGGAACTTAAAAGTACCCCCCTCTTCAGTAGGGTATCTTTGATACCAAGGAGGAATCAAAACAAAAAAAATTAACTTTTCAATCCAGGAGATGCTAAAATGGGTTCTCAGAATCTTGGCAAGAGCTGTAAGCTTTTAGGGCCAAGATCACGTCCTTGTAACTGCTTGAGTAGAACTTAGTCTTAGAGGCCTCAGTCTTGATCAGAGCCCCTGGGGAATTACTGTTGTTTCAAGCAGTATTGTAATTTCTATTGCTGCTCATACAGGAAAGAGGGTGGCATTGCCAGTAAAAGGGGGGTCAGATCTAGACAGTTGTGGCATGCCCATTCTGGAATGCTAGCTCTTGTGAGAGCAGTGACCACAGTTTCTTAGCATCTTAACAGTCAGACCCTCTGTAGTGAGAGATTATAGACATTATAGTCTATATTAGATTAGTCCACTACAGATTACAGTCTTGAAGTTTGTCTAATGTCACATGCATACCAGTCTTTTGTTTTGTTCCTCCTACTCATGTTCTCCCTTTACCCCTAAGGGCATTAAAGCTATTCTGACTATGAGGTCTCCCCTGGGTTAATTAAATACATGTCTGTAAGAGTTTAGCTCTCACAGTATCTTCCCTTAACAAAGGTGAAGTTTAGTTCAAGCACCAATAATGTAAGAAATCTCTGCAAAAGGAGAGATTTTAGCAAAGTGAAAGGATGGGCTGAGCATGCTTCCTATGTCAGGAAGGCTGGCAGTTGCCAACATACTGCACAGTAACAGAGCATCCCAAAGGCCCTTCATGCTGGCCAGCAACAGATGTACAACATAAGTGAGCATGCTTTTGATAAGGGATAGAAGTAGATGGTACTTCTGCATCTGAGTGCAATTCCCCGGTATGTCATAGGCTGGGATTTTTGTGTATGCCGGAGTTTCAAAGAGATGAAAGAAGAGACACAGACTAGATGCAAAATTTGAGGCTGAGATTCAAACAGCTTAGATATAGAGGCTTACTTCAGGTCTGCCAGTCAGCTAGTATGCCTTGTAAACTGCTGCCTACTGTGCAAGTTCCTCTTTAAATCAGTGGGGCCTGAGCCAGCTCACAGCAAAGTCTGTGTGAAAGACCTTTAATAACTCAGAGCATTTTCCATCCCAGTGGAGAAGCAGAGCTCCCTATTGATTTCCCCCCTCCCTCTGCTCCCAGGGAGCTGTCACGCTCTGCCTGCCCCGCGTTTGATGTGGAGGGGGCCACATCCCCCAGCATGGGGGAGGCAGAGCAGCCGCTCGCTCTCTCTGCTGGGAGAGGTCACTCACAGCCATCTAGAAGCACTTCCAGATGCCCCTGGATGGGCAAACTCAAACTATTATCACATTAGAACTCCATTCCTTCTTTTCAGCTGTCTTGTCTCATTAGGATATACTTGTCTTCCCACCAGGTGCTGTCTTACACCTGCATGACTATGCCATCCTGAGCGTGGACTGGCTGGTGTACAATGCCACCTACCTCCCCGACTGCTACATCTGCTTCACCCACACAGGCACCGTTCGGTTTCGCTTTTCCAAGCCTCACCCTCCTCACACAGTGCCAGCCCAGTGCTCCCAGTGGGTTTTGCTGGAGACTTACCGGAAACAGCTGCACGACGTGACCGAGTTTGATAGCAGGTGAGTGAAGAGGAGTCAGAAGCCTGCCGGCACTTCATGAGAGCATTGTGTAGCCAACAGAATCATTCTGGTCCAACTTTCCCATTTGCTTGCTGCTCTGAAAGCGGGGAACTCTGCTTAGGGCTACATATATAGAACAAGCAAATAGCAATATAAGAACTTGAAGGTTGGTGTACTTAATGCTGCAGAGTTAGAGACCATCAAAATTGAAGTTTTCTGTGCACCCTCACTCTGGTCCTTTGCACAGACATGTTGAAGACAGTGGCTTAAGTAGATTTATGTGACCTGCCCCCACCTCTCCTCAGCACCCAGGCTGGATGTGCTCCCAGCATGGGACAGGGCTGCATGGTGAAAGACCTTGCCTCATCCATTGAGGTACCCAGGAACAGGATGAGAAAGTCACGTAGCTGAGGAACAGGCTCTCCCCAAGAGCAGGGAAGTCATTTGTGAAGTCATCATCTTGATTCAGAGCAAAAAGTTGGGCAAACTTTTTACATTAGTTACTGCACTAGCAAAAAACCCAAAGCAGCCCAAAAGAAAACCCAACCCAGCCTCCCCCTCCAAACACCATCTTTGTTTTCTGAGGGCTCTCTGAAACCCCACTAGTACCCACCACACTGAAGCGTGGGGCACTCAGTCCCAACATACCCTCAGGCACCAGGAACTGCAACTTGCCCTCCTACCCTCAGACAAGGGGTTAAGCTGCAGCCTGGGTGCTGGCTGAGTCAATGAACCCTACACACAGGTCCTCTGCCTGGTAGCACTCCCCGCTCAACACCTCCCCGCTGACAAAGCTTCTCCCCTTACAGGCAATGCCCCCTAAAGCTCTCCAGGAGCTCACACCTCAGATGGCTCCCCAAGACATCACCTGCTCTCTCACAGGAGCTCCCCTCCCTGCAGGCAGCTCCTACCTTAACTGCTGGCAGCCTTTTAGCAGGACCAGGTGTTAGTTGGCTGCTCAGCAGCCACCTACCATTTAATCACTTACAGGTGGGTGGGAAAGCCTGGCTCCCCCTCTAGCCGGTGGTGGCAGGAAGAGGGATCCCTGTCTCCCTATCCAGGGGCCATTAATGCCGGGACAAAGCCCTGCTGAAAAGGCCAGGAGGAAGTGTGTAGTTCTGTGTGGTGTGCAGGGGGCTGGAGAGAGCACACTAAATAATGCATGAAGTCAGACACTGAGTGATGAGGACAAAGGAAAATATTGAGTAGCGATCCATTCAGAGGGCACTGCTGTCCGCGGCACTCTGGAGGGCTGGGGTCCCGTGGAAAAAAAAAAGTATGGGGTGTCATGTAATTAAAGACTGTATTGCAATGCTGACACATGAGGAGAAGACTGGATTAAGGTGATGTGGGTGACCCTAATTACAGCATTTCCTAAGTGAAACTTCATGTTTTTTACCATAGTGCTCTTCAGTAAGGGTGTGTGCTCTTAAATAGAGACCTATTAACACTTAGGGAGCTTGTATCCTCTCCACATGGAAGCTGTCTGGGCTCTGTGCCCTACAGATCTGGGAAGGAGGTCAGGTTGGGAAGCTGAGGAGCTGCCAGACCTTTGGCATGGTATTGCCTTCCCTCCCCAACAACAGCAAGGGGCAGGGCAGAAGGAGCTGACTCTCCAGGGCACCCACTGCCCCTCTCCTGCAGATGTGTGAGCACTTCCAGAAGGGAAGGAGAAGGTAGCACCAGACCCAGGGCTCTTGACCTTTTATACCCTGAGGTTCGACTGCCCTGACATGTGATGGAAGAAATAAGATCCGGTGAGAAGTCACTTATCTATGGCTTCCAAAGAGAGAACTGGTTCCCCATTAGCTCCCTTCCATTTCTACTGGGAATCATGATGAGGGAAAGACCATGGCACCAGCTCTCTTCAACCCCACCAGGAGACCCATAAATAATGTGCAAGAGATTGGATTTTGAAACAGCTTCACTTCCTTAAAGCCCAAGCAATTGCACTGGGTATTTCAGAACCGTCTCAGGAGCAACCCTTTGTTGTATTTGGTTTTGGTTGTGTTTCCATAGTGTGACGTCCTTTCTGGCTGAGGCTAGAGGCCTCAGCATCCTATACACCTAGGAGGGTGGAGCTGTGCATTGGTTCCCTATGGTCCTGTTTCGGAACAGGACTTCTTTTCAGAGGCATTGTTATCACATTCCTCTTCTTTTGTATTAGTTGTCCGACAACGCCTAGTAGCCGCAAGTCAGATCAGGATTTCAGAGAGGCAGGCACTACATGGGGACACAAGACACCCCACTACAGGGTCTCCCCAAGGGCAGAGGGGAAACAGAGGCAGAGACCGATGAAGTGATTTTCCTCAGCAAATGTGTGCCAGAGCCAAGTACAAACTTGGATCTCTTGCATCCTGGGTGCTCAGACTTACTCATCTGGGTATGTTGTCCTTCATTTCTTGCCCTTCTGTGCTCATCACCACAAAATCGCAGAGGAGTCATTGCACATAATGTGCAAACACATGAACAACAGCCACATTGAGGCGCTTCCCCTCCTATTTTCATCTAATCCCCGGGTACTAGTCTAGGGGTTAGGAATGTTTTTTGGCCGCCTGGAAATAGGTCTCTAGCCAGGAATAGGCCCCAATCTGTTCTGCTTCTCAGTTTCTGGAAACTCTCCCAGTCTCTTGAACATGTGCATCCCAGGCTACCTCTTTCCTGCACTCCTCTTTGCCCTTGAGCACTGACAAGCTGAGAGAAAGCAGATGTCAGAGGAAGGAACGGATGGATAGTTGGGTGGTTTCAAGGAAGTATCAAGGGAATATGGCAGCAGGGAAGGGTTCTCATGCAAGACAGGGTGGATCAGCAAATGTGAAGGGAACAATGGAAATGTTTCCGAGAGGCTGCACCTCTTTCACCTTACTGCATTCCTGACCAGGAAGGGATGAGGGAGAGAAGTATCTGCATTACATTTTTGCTGTTTGCATTTTTAGGTACATATGCATACATATACATATGTGTGTGTTTTGGAAGGAAGTCTTCTTGTTTGTTTCCCTCAAAAGAAGGTTTAATCATTCCTATTCAAAACACACGCCTTATGGGCCAAGACCCTGGAGTATTCTGTTACTGGTAAGCTTCCAAAAGGATGCTATTACAAGAGTCAGGAGACCGCGGGCCAGGAGACAGAGAAAGGAAGGGAATTTTGCTTTGAGACTTAAAAGAAAAAAATAATCCTCACTTGTTTACTTCACAATCAATTACGATATAGGAGAATGCCATTTTTTTCCTCAAGATGCAACATAACGGCCACCATCTCTAAAGCAAGAGCATGCCCCTAGATATTTAGGGAAACAGCACTGACATTCCAGATATTTGTAAAATACCACCGCAACCCCCCCTGACTCCGCCAGCAGCCCGAGGATTAAGGCCGTGCCCGGCAGCACAGCTCCGGTGGCCCAGTGGAGCTCTCTATCACCAGGATGAAGTCATCTATGAGGGAGCTGACACCATGGCCGAGGCTGAGGGGACAACTCCCCTGGGCGCTAATGGCTGCCCAGACCGCATCACCTTCCCCTCCTTGTCCTCTGACTGCCTTATCTCGCAGAAAAATAGGGCAGTGTGTGCATTACAAGGAAAAAAAAAAAAGAATAAAAATCCACTACAGAAACAAAGCACTCTGCTCCCTCTACAAGTCTCCCCTTGGGGAGAAGAAGAGGGGACAAGAGAGAGAGAGAAAGCGAATGAACCACATGTGACAGATGTTAGTCACACTATTTAATGCACCACTGGAAGACATTCAGATACTACGGTGAGGAGAGGGGTATAATTACCCATCGAGAAGAGGAAAACAAAAAAGCAGGAAAAAGAATCCCTTTAAAAACAAGGCAACAAAACGGTTCACTTCGGCATTATATAGCACAAGAAAGCAAAACAGCGGGGAAAAAAAAAAACCAGGAAAAGAAAGCAAAACCACAGTTGAAAATAAATAACCCTTAGCTGGTCATTTTAGCTGTGCCCCTTTGGGCATATGCATTGCAATAGCATTGTTCAGTGCATATATGACATGACGTGGAAGGCTATTTGTAGTCTGCACCTGATCACTGGCAAGGGCCCATTCCAGAAAAGAAGCAAAAAATGTATTTATGAAGCTTTCCTTCATCTGCATGAGCTACTGATGGCAAAAGCCCCTGAACCCTTAGGAGATTATCCAGTTATCAAGGATGGATCACTATTACGCAATAAATCTTCAACAGTTATAGGGATCAATAATCAGTCTCAAAGCGAAGGGGATTATAAAAAAAAGCATGATTTGATTTATGTGCTTTTAGGAGCAGGGTGGTGTGGGGATTTATTGCTGTTTCTAGCCCAAGAGCACAGGCTAAGTAAACAGCCACAAGTTTGTACAGCTAGATTTAAAGGCAGGGAGGGGAGCCCTCTGTGCGCTCGTTGCTGGAAGAGCCGAGTTCTCACAGGACAAGGGGAGAAAAGCGATGGGAGCCCGACTAACTGCCCGTCCTTATCTGAAATGAAGCTGCACGGGGTGGCGAGAACGGGCTTGCACGGCCTTTTGATCCACGGGGAGGTTTTTCCCTCGGTGCTTGCAGGGCTGGTGGGAACAGCCCCGCTCGTCTCTTGGCTTTGGGCAGGTGCTCTCCACGGGGCTGGCAGGGAGCTGCCCTTCAGCCAGGGCTGAGGGCAGGAAAGGAGTGGACAAGTCTGCTTTCCCCAGCTCTTCCCACATGAAACCTCCTCTCCCCTCCCTGCCGAGCTGCAGCACACCCTCTCCGCTCCAGCAGCTGGATCAGCGCCTTCAAGATGCCCCTAGTTCCCGCATTCCTGGTTTCTAGGGTGATGCTACGGTGTCTCCTGCTGCTGTGTGCTCCCCATTGCCCGTCCAAAACGCCGCCCACCCCAGCCATGGTCCAGCTCGGTCTGTTTGGTTGCATGGATTACTGAACAGTAGCTGGGGTTGCCCAGTGTCCTGTGATAATGGCACCAAAGCCCCTATTGTAATGCGCGGGAGGGCAGAGCCAAAGTTGCTGTGGAAACCTTAACTCTGAATTTTCCTGACTCTTGAGCACTTAAAATCTCATCCTCAACGTGGTACAAGTGTCTCTTTATGTACAGTTTTGCTTCTAAAATTGTTCCCGGCAAAGAAATTAACGGAGTGAAGAAGACATGAAACTGCAGCCGCTGGAAGAGGGTCCTTAGACAACAAAACAGCAGGCAGACGCTGGGGAAATGGGCTCCATTACATGGGCAGGATGGAGGGGCTCAAAAGGGATGCCCCTGCCCGGGATGTCTTAGTTTATGTGTTTGGACCAGATCACATTTTACGTCTGTAGGAGGGAGATTTTTTTATTCCATCCACAGAAGCCGCCTGGAAGAAGATAGTAAGAGCACAAATCAAACCCACATCTCCCATATAACAGAGCAGAGCGCTGCACGAGGATGGGGGCAAGACATCAAACATGAAACATTATTAAAGATCAGTAGCTGGTATTGAGGGGAAACAATATACTTGGATGAAAGATGAAGCACAGTTAAAGGTATTTGTGTCTGAACCTGCTTAGCCCCTGATGCTAGATAAGCATCAGGCCTGGCTGGACTGGTAAGCCCACCTGCCTGCAAGCACCCAGCTCCACAGCTTGCTGCGATGGCTTCAGTTTGTCCGCTCAGGAATGAAGTTAATCACCCCCGTATTGCCATCCAGACTTTGCCTACCAGCCAGAGAAATGTATTACAAACTCTTCTTCAGGTGGCCACCAGCGGAGGGAGGAGAGCTGTTGCCAGAGCCAAGGCTTCGGGCGGGACAAAGGCTATCAGCTTGTCAGAGGACGGCGTTGCGGCACAGATGCTTGCCCTGTCCTAAATGCAAGCTGTCACCCGCAACTAGATAATCTTGCAATTACTGGCTCCGTTAAACTCTGCTTGATAAAACTACCCACCACCTCTCTGGATTTCTGAAAGAGGCTTATATGCTGGCTGAGTCTATGGAGGAAATAAATACATTTCTGTCCCACTAAGGAAAAGCCAGGACCTGCGATTCTTAGCAGTTGTTTCCCAGCAGACAAATCTGAAGAAGTTATCAGCAAGGCAGGCAGGATATCAAGTTTGTTCCACTGTGGGCAGAAAGGATTTCTGATTCACAGTCATTTCCCCCCTGCTTATATTAGGTGACATATTTTGACAACACAAAGGTACCAGGGCAAGTTACAGGCTTAGTAAGCAGGTTGACAGTGGCCCAGTACATGGCATCTCCTGGAAACTTGGCGTTTAGGTGGTGAACAGAGGGCCAGGTGTCATAACTTTTTACATGCATTGAAGATGTTTGGGAGAATATATTGTCTGCAGGAGTCTGCAGGACTCTGCAGTACTAGCCTACTTTCAGATAAAGGATACCCCTGGGTAGCAGAGTGCAATTCTTATGATATAAAAACATCATACTTCCTTTTGTAATGCTATTATTCCTCAAGATTTTGCCCTCAAAAAAGGAAGGGGCAGGTTTTGAACACCTAGTCTTACCCTGCTTGTAGCTCAACATGTAGCATATGACTTTTTACCTGTCAGCTATTATCTGTACCAGCCATTAAAGGAGTAAATATAGGTGACAGAAAAATTACCTGAATGCTTTCTAGTTGCACTAGTTGTTGGTATGCTCATATGTATTGCAGTGCCAACACGTTCTGAGTTAGATATTGGGCCCCTATTGTGGCAGGAACGGCTTTGCACCTTACCTTGGTCCTGCCCAAAGAACACGTGCCTCCTTCAGCACAGCTGGGCACTGCTGCACCCCAGCGCATGTGGGTGGGAGAGTGTCACGTCCACAAAGCTTGGTCTCTGACAACAAAACTCACACCTATCTTAGAGCAATCCTGTTTCCTCCTGTACCGAACACCCAGCTGCCAGCCAGTGGCTTTTTGCATGCTGAAAGCCAGTTGACTTGTTTGTTCTTCTCATTCTTCCTCTTCCCTTTACCCTTCCCTACAGCTTGCTGAGAAACTTGACCCTGGTGACGGATGCCCCTGAGCTGGCCTACCCTTCTCAGACTTTCATCTGGAAAAGATTTGAAGAAGTCTTTCTCATTGCCTCTGGACTTATCTGCTATGCACCTGTGTTCAAGGCCTATTTCTACCAGGGCCTGCTTGAGCTCTATGAAGATAACATACAGTATGTCGAGATAAGAGCTATCCTGCCTCCGGTACGTATTTTTTGGCTTCTCTAGTATTCTTTTAAATCCTTATTTCTCCATAACTTTTCTCAAGTCCTATCTTGAATGTAGTTTTTGGATGTTTGCATACCTGCCCTTCTAAGGATGCTGGAAAACCTTGATCATATTCAAAGGTCTTTGCTGGAGATTTGCATAGGCGAGGGCTTGAAAGTGCGAGATGCTTTGTTCTTAATGGTTAAGGAAGATACCTACTGTGGCAACAGCACAAAACTGCAGTGTACAGTCTGACTGGGAGCTGTGTCGAAATCTTGCTGGTTGGGAAGTTCTATCTCAGCTTTGCACCAGAATCACCTGTTCTGTGGCAGCTCTTCTGGAGCAATTTCCCATCTTGAGAGACTTAGTCTGGAATAGTTATGTTATTTTAAATTCACAGCTTATTTCAGAGTGATTTCTCTGAACAGGCTAGTAAACCAATTGGCAAAGCAGAGTCTTCCACAGTTTGCAGACAACCTACAATTTTGGCTATGCATGTGAAGTATGAACTGCTCCTTTCATTGCCAGTAATACTAAGATCTGTTGGTAAGAGTTAAGGTCTTTCTCCCTGTGTGTCACCCGGAGCTGGTCAGATTGTCCTACAGTCCCAGGCTGCCCCAAGCACCAGCAGACCCCACCACTGTTCTTCGGCTATAACGGTTCCCACTTTCCCGGTGGCAATTTCAACAGTGCAAGCACACCTTTTCCATACAGTTCTCCAGACCAGCTCCAAGCCGGGCAGTGTGGGGTGCGAGCTCTGTCAGAGAGGCAGATGCCTTACCAAAACAAACAAACTGGGGCCACTGGTCCTCACTACACCACTTACCTCCATGTTCTTAACAGTCCATCGCAAGGTGAATGAAGCTGCTGTGCAAGGTCCATCCGGAGCACCTGAAGGACCAGGTGGTGGTGGCGGGTTGTGTGTGGGAAGGCAGGTAGCGGCTTGCTGCTGGCACCACGGCGTCCAGCGGACGGAGCAGCCATGCCGGTGGGCTCCAGCCAGCTGCAGATGAATGTCTGCACCCCAGCAACCACCGCTGCTGCCGGGCAGGCCTCCGCAGCCACCCTGTCAGCAGACAGGCAGGTGCTGTGACAAATTTGGAGGCTGATCTGGCTTTGTGCATGCCTCCTCCACAACAGCTGGGGAGCGGGGCTGGCTAACTCTGCCCTGTTGCAGCTCCGGCTGGCCCCATAGCAAGATAGGGCTCAGTGTCAGCACTGCAGGCTGGCACTCTATCGTGCTCGAGATGAGAAGGGTGTATAAAAAAAAAAAAGGAGGGGGGGAAGACCACAAAGCTTATATGTATCTTACTTTGCCGGTTGTTGGTCGCAAGCCAGTTGCTCTGAATTCAGTCACCATCTGTCTTTGGGGTACCTGGAAAGAGAAAACAGCAGCAATGTCAGAATTCCTGTGCTGTGAGACAGCGCGAGTACTGGCATCCCCCCCGGTCATACAGGTTTCCGGGCCAAGAGTATCTGCGATGATACAACTGCGTGGGCCTGATTGGAAAATACCCTGCATTTACCGGCAGCCCTTAGACATGGTTGTAATGTCTTTTGAAGAGAAGCTTGGCAGGGAAGATTTGCTTCCCATCCAGCCCCTAATGCTGGCTCCAGGCATGGGAGCCTCCAGAGCCCCCGGACTTGAACGCGCTGGGCAGCTCAGCGAGCTGCGAGGTACAGGCAGGCGGGCTGCCTGCAGCCCCGGTAGTGCTGCAAGGGCTGCGAGGAACTGGGGGTGCACTGGGCTGCCGGCCCCGAAGGGTAGTGCCGGCAGGGAAGCGCCAGGTAGGCTGGAGTGGGAACAAGAGGGAAGGGAAATGCTTTGCTGTGAAAGTCGAGGTGAGCAGGGTGTGACAGGAATAGTGAGATGCTTGTGTGCCTGGAGATCCTCTACAAGGCTTAGACAACAGCGCTGACACTCTGCAAAAGCTCGCCTTGCAGCAAAGCCTGCCAGAAGCGGCCCCTGAAGGAAAGTAAATGAAAGTCGGGATTTAGTGCAAAACAGCAAACATTGTGGAAAAGCCCCCCCAACCCAGCTGTGTTTGCAAATTCAGCTGTGTAAAGTCTCACATTCCCATGGGCTGCAGGAGGGGAAAAATCCCTCTGAGCGCTTGCAGCCGCCCCGCAGCTCCTGGTGCCTCCAAGGGGAATGCCCCACAGCGGGACGGGGCGCAGGGGCTCAGCGAGGGGCATCGCTGCAAGGGGCAGCACCGGAGGGGAAGTGAGAAGGTGGAGTGGACCAGTTAAAGAGTAGAGAAGGAGGATGAAGGTGAAAAGGAAGGTGAGAAGGGTAAGAACAGAACGGACAGAGTGATTTCAGCTGCTGTTTGTGAGCAACTCCAGGCAGGGCCTTTGTGGATTCGTATCAACCAGGGAATGTAGGGTCTACATCCCTGCTGAAATCAGGGCAAAAGCCCTGCGTATAGCCTTGGTAGCGAGGAACTCACAAAGTAAGTTGATGAGACAGAGCATGCCAAAAGGATTATTTTTCCCAGTTTGCAGCCAGAGAACTGGGAAACTGTGGCAAGACTAAATGACCGACTCAAGGTCACGGAGCAAACCTCTGGCAGAGGGGAGCAGAAGCCCAGCCCAGCTGGTAGCTTATGGAGCTCGGCCCTCGCATGCCTTGGGGCTGCCTTGGCTGACAGACTGCCACCGCAAGGCACAGAGCGTGTGTGTGAGCCGCCAGACGGCTGGACAAAACGCCCCAGCATTTGATACAGGCATGAGTAAGAGGTCATGGTCTCCTCTGGGTACTCAAGGGCACTTGCTTGCCATGTCTGAACATGGAGAAACTTGTTTCTTGTATCACATCCGAGGGAGGAAAAGCACTCCTTGGTTCTTGCCAGCTGCTAAAGGCTTCAAGAAGAAAATGTTCTGCACAGATTTAACTGCTTTTTTCTGTCCTGTTGCCAGGACCGCAGCACATTGCTTCTTCCAAGGTTTTCTTCAGTTCATTTCTCCCACCCTCCAATAAAACACCTCTTCCAACTTCTGCTTGCCATGTGCTTTTCGTCCTGCAGGTGTACGAACTCGACGGCACCTGGCACAATAAATCATGGTCCGTGGCAACCTATCGGGAAGTGACCAGGCAGTTTGTGAAGGATCACCCTGACTTTCTTGGAGCCAAGATTATATTTACAGCACACAGGTAGAGGCTGAGCGGGGCTAAGAGCAGCTGTGTGTGGCTGGCTGTGCTACAGCAGAGGTGGCAGTGGGGAGAGAGGTGTCCAGGCCAGGAGAAGCGATGCTGAGGGCTGGGCTGAAGCGCCGCAGTTGGTTAGCAATGCCTGCGTGCATCGGCAGACCTGGGGTGTTGACTCCTGAAGCATTCCCTGGCACATGTAAAAGGCTGAGGATGAGAAATCATCTATATAAGTCTGCGTATGTGCGAAGTGACCAGGGTTAGCTCATGGTGTGCGCTGGAGAGACAAGTGTCTGTGAGCCCTGGGTGCGGGAATGAGCAAGGGGAGGGCTGCTTGTGTGCATGCATGTCCAAACTGTGCATGCTCTCTTCCCAAGCCTGGACATACTCCTCCTTTCTGCGGAAGATGAAACAGTGAGAGCAGTGCCCGAGTATGGGCACTCGGTATTGCAAAGGTCCTTGTGGGACCCTGCAAATGCTATTCTCCCGGCAGCCTTTGTATGGTATGTTCGTGCTGCTGTTCTCAGGCGGGCACAAGGCTGTTCTCCAAGTCAGCCAGATGCCATGAAGTCATATGAGGTGATCCTGAGCAAATATAACAGACCTCTCACCGGCACTTACTCACTCTGGCTCGGCACGATGCCGTTTCCAGTTCAGAGCTGGCTTGCCTGTGGCCAGCTTAGGTATGGACAGAGTCTGTCTGCAAAATGCACTGTGATGTTTAAATCCGATAGGGCTGGAAGAAATCTAAATTTAAAACTCTCTTGAAATGCAGCTACCGTCCCACCTCCCAACAAAACAGTCGAGAGGAAAAAAAAATATTTAAACATTTTCTCTCCATGCTGTTGTGTTTCCTGCTTGGTAGATGGGAAAGCCAGTGATTCTTAGACAAGCATGCCTCAACTCAAGTGACAGCAGGGTCTAGCCAGGCATTTCCTGGTCATTCAGGGGTTTCCTTTCATAATATCAATTTTCTACTGCTGTTACTCTGGAGACCTGAGGCTGGTTGTCAGATTCAGGAGCAACTTGCATTTTGGAAATACCCCTGGGGGCCCCATTTCACAACTCAAACCCAAAGAAGGCAGGCCCGTGGGAGTGAGCCTCTGCACTGCTGTCTCTCTTTTACTCTTTAGGATGCTGAATGTTTCACAGATTACAGAAGCCATCATCACTGCCATGGCACTCAGAGCCCACTTCCCAGACACCCTGGCAGGCTTCGACCTGGTAACTGTATTTCTTCTGTGGCTTCGTGTTAACCCCAGAGGTGCGACAAAACTACACGTATAATATGGCATATGTTTTATACTAGAGCCAGATCCTCTGCTGCTGTACTGAAATCAGTGTAAATGATTGCAAATCCTCCAGCTAAGGATTTTGTTGAGGGTAATTGACAAAATCCCCTGAAAGAATCAGCTCCCTACCCCACAGCACTGTAATTTCAGTACAGCTGGCACCTCAGTGATATATAGCTGTAAGTCCCACCATCTTCCACAGCATGTTCAAAAATACCTTTCTTCTTTCCCCCAGGTTGGTGATGAAGATGAAGGTCATTCTTTATGGGACCTGAAGGATGCTCTGACCATCCCATATTCCCTGGGGTTTAACTTGCCATACTTTTTCCATGCTGGGGAGACTGGTAAGCATGAGGACTCAAGGCCTGTTATTGCTTTCAGAGGCAAGATGTGACGTCTGGCAAAGCACAGAAGAAGCAAGCCTGGCTGTATAAAGATGATGATGTGTGTGTGTGTGTACATGTGTATATAATCGCTTTTCCCTGTGCTTCTCCCCATATCAGCTTGTTCCTGTAACATTCCTACACGACACCTTCCCTACCTGATCCCTGCTCTTGACTGTAGGCATCATGTTGCTCAGCGTCTTTGCCCTGTGTGTAACATGGAGTCATGCTGCAAGAGTTATTGCTGGTAGCCATTTCCTCCTCGGAGAAGTGCTCACCTCCCATCCACAGTGGCAGCAGAATTCCTCAACCATTATTTTACATTTTAAGGTGAAGGAATGTCTGAGCCAGCCTCAAGTCTTAACTGAATACACTCATCAAAGTCACTGATCATTACCCTTCATTCCTGGGGCAATGTATTATTATCGGCAATATATTATTCAGTCTGTATGGGTGGTATTTAGCCTAACCATGCATGACAGTTGCATCTAACTTGTGTGTTATGCTTATTGCATGTTAACATCTACAGAGAAGATGTCTACTCCTGAACTAGTAACCCTAGGCTCCCTTTATAGCGATGGACAGTAACAAGCACTTCTAAGGCACAATACATCTCATCCTAATGTACAGGCTGTTTCCCAGAAATTATTACTTCTCTCCATTGACTATGAATGGAGACCAGCATGATTAGCTTAGCTGTAAGACCAATATTGTGGACATCTATAACCAGGTGAGATGAGTGGGTATCTCTATGCTGGGCAACTTCCTGGGCAGATTTGGATCCCTGTTTCACTGAAAGTGCAAAGTGGGAACTCGGAGCATGAGCAACCCTCTCCCCTTGCGACTGAGAAATTTATTAACAAAACCATCTAGCAGTTTGAGAAGATATATTTCCTCACAGCACTGCAGTGATTCTTACCTGTCTCTGCTCAGACTGGCAGGGCACTTCTATAGACAATAATGTGCTGGATGCGTTGCTACTGAATACCAGCCGGATTGGCCATGGACTTGCCCTCATTAAACACCCAGTAGCCAGAAGTTTGTCTCTGAAGAGGGATGTTCCTGTAGAAGTCTGTCCCATCTCCAACCAGGTATGTTGGTAAAGCCTTAGGTCTTGGGGCTGGGACACTGGAATGGGATATACCATAGCAACTAGGAGCAGCAGGGAGCTGGGGGGCAGCTAGATGTTTTGTTGCACCCAGGCTGGCTCAGTTTCCTTTGCACCACATTACAGTGCAGTCTGCTATGTAGACACACACTGTGGATATATATAAGGCTTGTAATGCCAGTCAGCTCAAAATCATTTAAATTCCTATCCAGAGGAACCTGGGAAGGCAGTCCTCCCTCATGGAGATGAGGCCCAGAGCCAGGGAGGTGCCTAAAAAGGCATAATAGAAAATACTTCAAAGCCAGGAGGGCCAGAGGCTGAGAAGCTGGGATTGTAACTGGAAGTCTTTTGGTTTTATAGAATTCATAACCAGGGGGAACTCTTTTGCAACACATTAGCGTGGTGCACATTGTCCCCTGGGTGCAGCAGGAAGGATGCTCTGGATTAGAGATGTACTGGTGTGAGCCTTGAGGGAGAGAACCCTGATACCAGCTCCAGATGCCCTGGGCTAAGTGTCATAGCAAATACATAACCAAAAGTCTGTTCCTGAAATGCTCACAGTCAAATTGTTATAAAAAAGCAGAAGTTATTCACCCCACTGGCCTCGATTTAGGTGATTAGGAAACCAATCTCCTTGTATAGTCAGTGGAGACAAGTAGGCTCCTCCTGCAGCAGTTTAGAGCAGAATGCCTAACATGCTCTGAACAGCCCTCTGGAGACTCTTCCTCCCTGATGACTACCTGCTGACACAGGCAGCTATAGCAGGTACGTGGTGTGACGGGGGTGCCATAATGCAAACAAGCTACAGCAATAACCCAACGTCATGTTGTCTCCCACCCTTCCCCACCAAGGTTCTGCTGTTGGTAGCTGACTTGCGGAGCCACCCCGCAGCCAACCTCATGGCTGAAGGGCACCCTATTGTGATCAGCCCTGACGATCCCCCTATCTTTGGGGCAAAGGGCGTCTCCTATGACTTCTATGAGGTGTTCATGGCCATCGGAGGGATGAATGCCGACCTGAGGACCTTAAAACAACTTGCACTCAACTCCATAAAGTAAGTTCCTCACCTCTCATCTAGCCATAGTAATGCTAAGGGGACTATCTATCATGTTGCTCCCTAGAAACCTGCTGTATTTGGGTTTTGGCCCCAGAGTCTCCTCTGCCACACGAACTGGGCTTCCATTAATGCAAAGTCTCCTCTATGTGTCTCCTCCAAGGGCAGGACACAGGGACCCCAGAAGCTCCTCTGCCCATCTGCCATTTCTGCCAAAATCTGAATTGCTGCGGTGTTTGCCACAGCCCACTGGGGAAATACAGAAAAACAATCTACCAGCATATAGTCTGGGTGCATTTAACCACTTTATCTGGACAGCTCTGAATGTCCCAAAATAGCTTGGATATGGTGCCCAGGCTCTTTCCATACATTCCTAGACCCTTGTCTGTTTGCCAAATCCTGTGCCAATCCTCACGCCAATCCCAAGACCCTGCATGGCCAGGAAGACAACAAATACTCTCATTTCCTACCGATTTGGACCAAGCCCAGGGGACATCTGAAAGCAACACCAGCACTGTCTCTTCTGTACTAGTCACTGGGTGCCACCCAGCGAATCTCCAGCTTATGCAGACTGAGCTGTTTGTCCTCACGGTGAAGGACTTGGTAGCTGTTGATAGGGCCGTGATGCTTCTCGTCCCAGTGTAAGCCCAGCCAGCAGGAGCTCAAGGCTCTTTGCACTGTTAGTCTGTGTGGTGTAGGCATGTCCTGCAAGGGTTAATCTGTTGCTGCTTCCTGCCTTTTCATTTTAGCCACTGATCTTGAAATAGCTGCCCCCTTGTCTCCTGTCTGATACTGACTTTTCTCCTCCTCACAGATACAGTGCCATGCTACCGGATGAGAAAGCCAAGGCCAAAGAGGTCTGGCAGAAAAAATGGGACCAATTTGTGGCTGACCTCTCTGATAGCTTTTTGAGGGAGCTTTAGAGGGGAGGAGACTCATCTCAGAAGGCATTTGGCAAGCCAGAGCAAGCCAGGCTTATTGCTAAGCTGGAGACTGCTTCTTCCATGCGACCTGAGCAGATGAAAGAACCTCAAAGTTTCACTTGGCAATGGGCGATTCTGGTAAGCTAGGCTTAATGGGCTGAATGCTAAGAATGAGCTGTGCTATCCTGTGAAAGTCATGGACTGGAGGTAAAAGGGATCAGTGAGCCTTTACAGCAACAACAAAAGAACACCCTACTCAAAATAGTCAAAACAACTAAAAATTGCCAATGATCAAATCCTGACATCCTTGTTCAGGAAAAACATGCTTTCTAATTAGAGTTGGCGGGAGATTGCCAACATGAGGATCTCTGAATTTCACCTTATCATTACAAAATGCAGACCTTGTCCGGAAACAGCTAAGACAAACATCCAACCATTTGGGCCACTGACCTTCAGGAGAGCAAGGACTGAAAATGACTCTTGTTATGTTTAACCCTGGGCCTGCTGCCAAAATAGCACTGCTAGGTCGAAGAACCAGTCATAGGTCTGATGTCTGCTATTTCAGGACCTACCATGGCTGGAAATGAGCTGATGGAACTTGCTCCCAGAACATCTAAGCCTGGTTGCACAGTGATCATAAAGCCGAAGAGAGGTTCCTCGGTCTCTGACGGTTTTTGCTACTACAAAATCTTTTCCTGTCCTGTGGTCACAAGGAAGCCAAAACACTTTTCAGCTGAGAAAAAACACCCTGGCTTCCCAGATCCGGCTTAATTAAAACTGTCCCCCTGCACTGGGCCATGTTAACACAGGCCTCTGCATTTATAGGAAACACCTTTTGATTTCAGGGGCTTCCACTACCAGCCTTTGTTGCCTAACTCAGAGTGCAAATATGCCCTTATTCAGCCTGTCAGACAGATTTTCACCTTGGTGGAGAACTCCTCTCACACTATGGATATCCACAGTGTTCACTTGGACCTTTGTAGTTTCCAGCTCTTTGGCAAAAAGGTATTGCAGCAGCTACACAATAAATAGTGTCTGGACAAGCAGATTCCCTTTCTTAACATCATCAAAAATATCAGGAGAAGAACTAGTTGCAGGGAGATTAAAAAAAAGAAATCTTAATCAGGATGCTAAATAAATTCAGCAAAATCCTTCAGCACACATGCCCCAAGCACACAGCCAGGATCAACCAGTGTCTCTCCCTGACTTCACTACAGTTATGCTGGTTTGCATCAGCCAAGGGAGAACTTACAGAAGTTCCTTCTGAAAGACATCTCCCTCCTCTGAGCTGCAAACTTGCAAGGACTGTCTTTTCCTGATCTAACCAGCTTGGGCAAATGGTCTCTCTTTATGTTTTTTGCTAATTGTCTCAAGCTGCCTGGCCATAGTGTTTATTTCTACTGACCTTGGTTAAAACACCTTAGCAGGAGGCAAATACACTTACTACAGAAGTGGATCAAGCTACACAGCCTGTGCATCCCCTGTTAAATTGCCCACATTTCACAGGCTGCAAGTTCATCTCTAGTTATCCCAGGGAAAAAAAAAACCCCACACTACAAACCCCATTATAAAACCCAAATAAAACTACAACAAACCAGAGGTGTCCACATTGCAGAAGCCAGCAACACAAACCACAGAAAGCAAAACACAAGAACCCAGTCACACACCTTGCTGACTGATGGGGTTGAGTGCCTCACACCCTAGCCCTTTTCAGCCACAGCTGCCTCCACTCCAGCGCTCTCTGCCCACACCTTCCTCTGAAGCACCAGCAACTGCTCTTTGCAGGCTGGCCTTTACTGGGCCTTGATGCAGATCTGGTCTGGGGACGAGCTTTATACTGGAGGAGGAGCCAGAGTAGAGCCACCTTCCCTTCTCCTCCATGGGTGTTGCATACAGAGCTTGGTCTAAAGTCCCCAGGGTAGGCTTTGGTCATGGTCAGATTACAAATGCTGACTTGGGAAATGCCTTATTTGTAACACTGCTGAGGAAAACCACTGCAAATGCGTGGCATGGCTGCTAACCAGTGACCCATGTCCCTCTGAGCCCACTGATCTTTCATCTTTGCTATATGTGGATGGAGGAAGATCTTTCATTTTCCATGGGTTAAGTGAGCTCATTCCTGCCAAGGTGAAGCTAATCATTACAGAGCCAGTGTGGGAGGAGCTGAGGTCCTCAACACAGGTTGACCCATGTCCCTTCCTCTTCTGCCACAGTGGAAAGGTTTCAGCTCTTCCTGCACATGGTCTTTTGAGGGCTTGAACCACCGATGGCCTTTTGGTTACCTGTAGTCCTCCCTCCTCACTACCTGCATTAGCAGCAGGGCTAGACCTCCTGCTTGCCAAACACTTGCTGGGACCAGTTTGCCTGTTGTGTCCAGTTTGTTCTTGCCTTCCTAGGAAAAGCCTCTTGTGCGCTCAGCCATATACCTACTTTGCATCAGGAACTGTGATGTGATGTGGCCCAGTGTCTGAAGCCACCAGTGAGTAATGCTGTTGGGGATTACAGCACTGAAATCACTGGGGGTTTAAAATTGTACAGGCCTGAGGTGATCTTCAGATGAAGCCCTCAGAAAGGTGAAACTTGACCCTACAGGGCTGTGTTTGCATTTGTGACTAGCCTAGTGACTCCGCTTCTGCTGAAGGTATTCATCTTAGGTTTGGTCAGACAGCAGAAACTTTCCTGCCCTGATCACATACATTTAAATGTGAATCTGAACTGCATGGAGACGCCTAACTCCATTGGCGTAGCCTTGCCTGGATCCCTGCTTGAACAGGGCATCGCCATGTGTGGTGACTGCAGCTTCGCAAGAGTCCTCTGGCCATAGATGAGCTTTAACCATTTTTAGGGCCTTAGAATCAGATGGGAGGAGAGCCAGCCTGCTTTACTGCTGGTGACCCACTCTTCCTTAGAGTGTGCCTTATTTTGGAGAAAGGTCCAAATTGACAAACCCAGACTGCATCCCCACCTCTCTAACTCCAGGTGTGCAAAGAAGGAGGGATTTAGGCTGAATCACAGCTATTAAGAAAGACCAGTCCCTTCGGATAGCCCCAAAGGGGATTTTTGGCTACAGAGTAAATTTGGCTACGGAGCTTTACTGAGACTCAGCTGTTAGCCTTCACAGTAACATTTGAAGGATTTTGCTGCCAGTCCATTCCCTTACCCTCAGTACCTTGGCTCCCTGCTCACATCTGTTGGCAAATGCATTGCATATAATGCTTCCTTGCCTGTCTCTTTCAGAACACAGTATATATGCAAATTTTTAAACCTGTTTTAGTTGTGGGGTTTTTCCTCCCTTTCTTTTCTGTTAAAAAGAACTGGGGATACCTGTGTTTCATGTGAGGTTTTAATCTGGAATGTGTAGTGGAGGGGGAATGTTTCACGTCACTCAGCTTGGAGTGGGGGGTGTCTGAAATGTATTCACAGCATGGTGCAAAAGGCAATTTGATCCAGGGGGCTAACACGCTGTGGAGTCAAGCCCGAGCCACCCGGCAAAGATGTGACACAGGTACCCCAGCCCCCCCTTCCCCAAACCACACGATAGCTGCATCCAGATCTGGGCCGCGTTTTCATACAGAGACCACCCGACAGACTTGATTTGCTTGTGCTCCCTCTCCTACCAGCTAGAGAACCTGAAGACCTGAGATGAAAGAGGAATTTGGACAAACAAGGCTGGAGGCAGCCACAAGGGTGGCTTCGGAGGGCAGATCTAAAGGGGCAGAAAGTCCCCTCCTTCCTTCTCCACCTGGAGTCAGGAGCAAGGAAGGAGAGCAGAAAATCCATGGAAGTTTCCGTGCTGCTTACTTCAAGCAGCCATAGGAATACGGCAAGCCTTATGACTGTTATCTCCCCCCCTCAGTCTCTCCCTGTGGCCTCTTCAGGTTCGAGTTATTTAAATGGGAGGTGGATGGAGCTTTGTTCGCAGCACACCGTGTCTCAGGTCTAGTGGTGTTTTCTTGCAGAGCAGCTTAGACCGCCTTTGGGGCACTTTAGCAAATGAAATGTTTGCCTCCTGGTCACTGACCGGCAGGAAATGGCTGATCCAGCACTAGTCGTTGCTGTCAAAAAGCATGCCAATAAAAACAGAGGAGTAAAGTAGCTGGTTGAAAATAGAGATAGGCCCAAGCGAGCAGCTGGATCTATATGTCATGTGAACCTCCATCACTGCAGTGGGACTACACAGATGCCAGATGCTAAGCAAAGCCCTCTGGCCATAAAACACAAGGCTATAGAGGCGTTTTCCACCAGCTCCTGACGCTCAGCCCGCTTCAGGTTTTTCTCCTGTAAGTCTCCGAATTAGTCTCTTCACAGGTAGAGAGGAAGGAGGTAGAGAGGTAGAGAGGACAGGTAGAGACAGGTAGAGAGAAGAAGGACATTTCTTTGGCCTCAAACTTGTAGCTCTAATTGGCTCAGTACTTACTTAATTCCTTTCTTTCCAGGCTTGCAGCAGTTGCAATCATGGCAGATCTATCAAGTGTTTTCTGTCCACTGAGGGACAGGCAGGTGAAGGGTCTGGCTCTCAATTCTTCTGGCTTGTCATTTTTATCAGGCTGTGTCCTCCCCCTTGGTCATTACAGGATAAGAAAGGCATTTTACTGTATTTTCTCAACCTTTAGCTTGTCCATCATTCCACGAGCAGGCTGCAGCAGAGAAAGAGAAGAGATAAACCGAGAAGGGGGGAGGGTTGGTTCAGGCCATTAGAGCCTTTGCGGTAAGAAAAAGAGACCGAAGGTACGGCTGCTTTCAAGGGGGATATTAGATGGTCAGAAGGGGGGGGGAGTGATGACAGGGCTACGAGTCCAGGGAAAACAGAGCTGCAAAGTTTACATAGGAACCCATGGGAGAAGGCTGTGGGCAACTGCCTGTTTTGCTTGTCTTTAAAGGCAGCTACAAAAGGGGGTGGGGGAACATCAAAGTACAGCATAGACAGGGGAAGAAGAGGGAGTCTCCTGTGGGTTGGTGTGAGAAAGGCAGACAGACCATCTCTAGGGGTAGTAGGGGATACGGCTGTTGCCAGATGTGCCTGCAGAAGAAATCATAAGACCCATCCACGTGTAGCATGCAAAACAAGAATCTCCGCGTAGAGTCACAGAGAAAAGTCTCAGCTCCTGAAGGGAAAATTACACGACCGGGTGTTTAGCACTGGGATGATGGGCTAAAGCCTGCCTGCTGGTGCTGGGAGGACGGGTGTTCAGCAGCCAAAGCAGGGCACACAGGGTGCGGTGCTTGGCAGCCACGCCGCTGTCGGTCCCTGCTGCGCGTGCCAGGCTCGGCCTGTGCCCCGCTGCTGGCAC